TAAAATTAATGTAATATAGTATTGGCCATACTATATGATGTATTGCTTGTCTTTGTTTAATAATACAGAAGACAAAGACCTTAAAAAATAATCGCATATCGCATCGCAATCGCAATATTGGGGCAAAAAAATCGCAATTAGATTATTTTCCATAATCGTTCAGCCCTATTATAAAAACATAATTTTTGTAATTTTTATAATAAAGAAATATAAAAACAAAGTCAAACCTTTCTCTTGTTACTCTTGGGAGCCTCAGTTTCCACTTTGTTCACATCTTGTGGCTGTGTGTGAACCAGCGGGGAAGCAGGCTTGCTTATGGGCTCAACTTGAGGCTTCTTGACTTCAGCCAGAGCTTCGACAGGCACAGACGTTTTGGGTTCATGTTCTTCTTTCTCCGTCACCACAATATTTTGTGCTTCTTGTTCATTCTGTGCTACTTTGGTCATAGTGATTTCAAATTGAGGCCGTGCCTTCATTTGCTCACAGTGCGGCACCTGAGATGAAGATGGAACCGGCGTTAAGGTTTTGTGCTGGAGATGGCGGGCCTGGTGCTCTCTGGCATAGCTGTGCACATGTAGCTGTGTGGTGGGTTGCCGCTGCGTCTCTTGACTGTAGCTCTGCACCTGAAGAATATCTTTAGGACTCAGAGTCCTGTGGAATAGCAGACTGGCAACACCCATTTTGCGGGCAGGCTGAGTTCCAACTTCTGTCCACATAGAGGCTGCTGAGACTGAGAGATGCCCGTTTCTGGACCTGGACTGAGATGAGATTGCAGGTGCACGAGTCTTGGTATAATGAGGAGGGCAGCCACTGTCACCCTTACTTTGGGACAGGCCCCTGTGAAATGGATCCATTAGCGTGAGCTTGGTTGGAGTGACAACCAACTTTGGTGGGCCTGTAAATTAAATGAAACAGAAAATAAGTTTTGCTACACTGTTTAACTCCACCATCAAGCAGTAATTGTTATTGGACTCTTGGTTGCCATACAGGAATCAGTGAGACGGTATTAATACCTTTATTTCTTTTGCCATCTTGTGCCACAGCCCGTGGAGGTATAAGACTGAGTCTAGGACGCTTTCCATACTGCTCTTCATCGTCTTCATCTTCAACCTGAGGCACAACTTCTTCGGGCACTTCCAGACACACCCGGTGTCTTTTGGTCTCTATTCTTTGTTTAGTGCTGAGATTCAACAAAACAGATGTGGGATTTGTGAATACTGTATCAGATTTGCCCAGTTTCATCAATGGTTTTTCTACCATTTAATTTGAAGTAATGTGAAGACGTATTCTAAACATATGTTGTAAAAAACAAGATACCTATTATTACATCAGTGAGATTAATCCATGAACACCATATGTGACAGTAAAACACATGTGAAGAACATGCAGAATGAATACTTTTGATACCTTAAGGTAAATTTGCTAATAAAGCACACTTGTGAAGTACTTAATTTCTACTGTTACAAAAGGGGAAAGGAACTAAATATCTTAATATTCTGCTAAAGCTGGTTTTATGGTCCCACAATAGGTGGCACCCCCGCTGTCAGCTCAACTCCAGCGACTGCCCATCTTCCTACAGTGTGCACTGTTGCCAAACAGAGGCAGTGTACAAAGTATGTATTAGAACCAGTCTATGAACCACTCTTGCTTGTACTCTTATAGCCAGCCGTGGACAAGAGTAAAGTTATGACATACAATGAGATAAAGTGAAACCACGTGTAAAAATACTAGCAGCAACCACTGGTACCCCTAAGCCCCCCCATAGCTACAGCCATGGTATCAATTTCAAAATTCTATGTCGCATTGTTCTCAAGCTATCAACATGACGAGTTTGAACCCAAAGGTCAGAGGTCACATGGTATCAATTTCAAAATTCTATGTCGCATTGTTCTCAAGCTATCAACATGACGAGTTTGAACCCAAAGGTCAGAGGTCACATGGTATCAATTTCAAAATTCTATGTCGCATTGTTCTCAAGCTATCAACATGACAAGTTTGAACCCGAAGGTCAGAGGTCACAGAGACCAAAACTCGTCCAAGATTGTTAGTAGATACACCTATAATGTCAATTTGATGCTCGTTGTCTTCATAGAAGAAAAGTTCATTTTCACGAGGAGATTCATTTGTACAGTAAATGGCCCACCTCTTCCACTGTCCGTCCTCCCCACAGCTCTTGATGGAGCTAGTCTCACTGCTGCTGGTGATGTCATTAAATGACTCATCCAAGAACTCCTTAGCTTCTGGGGTGGGTCGTGAATGGTCAATGGGCACCAGGTCTCGGCCTTCCAGCCACTGTTCGTAGCGATCTGGCTGGTATTTTTTCACAAAGACATCCATGGAAATCTTCACCATGTCTCTACGGCATGAGCACTAAAAGGGAAAAATGCATACACAGACTCTCTTTTAAGTAATAATAAAACGTATTTCTTTCCACTAAGATAAGAATCAAATTGGTTCTCCGACACTGAATGACTCTCCTCACCAAAACTGCCTGCTTGCCATATTCAATCCATCTCTCTGTAGCAAAGTTGGTGGACTCTGCACAGTTGAAGCCGTGGTTGAAACCAGCATGATAGGAATAGGGGAAAGTGATCATGAACTCCCCAGCCTCCTGAGTAATCTAATGAACAGATAATAAAACAATAAGCAAGTGCAGTTCTTGCATTTAGCCTGTGTCGTGGCTAAAAATACAATAAATTGTTACAAAAAAGTTACCCTTTCGAATGGAATGCTGTATTTCTTTAGTACAAAAGGAGAGATCAGTGTCATCTTGTGCCTTAGAAAGGCATCACAATTCTGAGCGCTATTGGGAAAGAAGCCTAGAAGGAAAGAGATCAAATCTCTTGTGAAATATGAAATATTACAGTACAAGAATCCATGACTGTGATGTATTCATTGTATAGCTTTAAAACACATACGGTATCTACAGAAAATATCCTACTGGCCACCTACCTTGAGCCAGACGCTCAAATCTTTTCCCATGCTCTGGAGGAATACAATACCTGCAGACAGTCAAATGCTGAAAATTACTTTGTGCATGTATCCATCTGCCCTAGATCTTTTCAGCCTGGTTTCTATGCACAAGTTAAGTTGAATGCTTTCTTTCGTTTTAACACTGTGTACACACATAACAGTTAACTGCTTTTTCTGCCTCTTCTTTAACACCTTGAGAGACGAAACTGTCTAATGTAAATGAAAACCATCAAAGGCCTCAGCAGCCACACATGAAACAGCACTCATGCCCAACCCGCAACCCCCAAGTTTCAAGCAGACATGAGAAACCACTATTTAACAGAATAACAACAACAAAAACAACACTTTGTGCAAGTTACCATTAGATAAAACAAATTAAAAGTTGTAAATCAATTAACTAACTAGCATGCATCTTTACCATGATTTAGGTTCTCCAAAGTGCAAATAATTGATACTGTAGAGGTCCATGTCCTCTGTGTGCCATGGAAAGGTGGTCTTCCACATGCCAAAATACAAGTAGGGTGTATTAACACCCTCAATAGTGATGCCGTTGTCACGCTCCACAGTATCCAAAATGGTGTCCAGATGGCAAATATTCCACTCCCTGACATCCTACCAGTAAACAGAAAAGGAAACAAGATATTTTTTTAAAATGAGACTCAGAAACAGAATCAGTCAGTACAGTATGATCAGTGATGTCATCAGCTTGTGTGCCGGGTGAAATAATGCTAACTCACTGGATCATACAATGTTCCATTAACATCTGCCCCATATAAAGGAGCATTAAAGGTCACGTTCTTCCAGTACTTCCTTTCCAGCTCCTCAAAGTTATCATAATGTGGACTACAGTACCTGTAAAAGAAGAAAAAGAAAAAAAAACAGTTTATTAACATTGACCCCGTACACAGATTTAAAGCATGAAAATATTGAATATGTTAGTATTAGTACTCAAGACACATCAGAAAATAAAAATCTTCAACCTCTTTAATTTTGCGCTTCTCACCTGTTGCTGTTGGCAACCCTGCGAAACTCTCTCACCGTCATGGATCTCCTCTGTATGTTGTACTGCGTGAAGAGACCTGACACACCTGTCACAACCTGCTGAATGGGTGCAGGTATCACCAAGTCATCTATGTCGTCATAAGAATGTCTGGGCTTCCATTCTTTTGGTGGGACAATCTTGGAAGAAGACATTAGACAGTGAGGCTTTGAAAATGGCTAGATAAAAATATCAAATAATGGCCCAAGTGTTAGCATATGTTGTGTTAGCACTTACTTTAGCCAGGCCTGCTTTATGTGCTCCCTTCGACTCCATATATGCAACATAGCGCCTGAAATCCTTGAATTCCTCAGCAGTGGGATAAAAAGTCATAATCCCTTTGGAAGCGTCCGAAGCCATTTCCAAAACTTGATGGCAGCGCCTGCAAATGTAAATGGTCAAAGTATTTTGTGGCATGCAAAACGAAACCCATTTAAGTGGAACTTACATGTCGCTCTTCACACATAAAGAGTAAACAAATGATTTTATTTTTTCCAATGTAAAGTAAGGTACTGTGCAAACGTCTTGAGCCACAGCTTTTATATAATATTTTTTTGCTAGGAAAATGAGAAAGATCTGCAAACATACATGGAAATACAGTAGAAGGCAAAAAGAGTCTGACAGTCAATATTTGACCACCTTTATCCATCAACACAGCCTGAACTCTCTTAGCCAAGTCTTCTTATAATTTCTTTATATTTATATAATGTCTTCATTGTTATTCTCTTGTGACTCAGCCTTGGGCTGGTTCTTATATAGCGCTTTTCTACTCTGAGCACTCAGTGCTTTACACAACTTGCCTCATTCACCCAGTCACACAAGCACTTCTATGTTTTTTTTGATGATGATTTGAGCTAAAACTTTCAAAAAACAATTTCTACTCGATAAAACCTGTTGACACTGATTTTCAGACCAGTTCTTGGCTAGTCTGGCATACCTCAGCCTTTCCTCCCCATTCCTCTTCCTTAAGAATGGCTTCTTCACAGCCATTGTTCATTGAGACCATTTCTGATAAGGCTTCAGTGAACAATAGATGGATCTACTTAAGGGATATGACTTTTGAGATAGTGTTCATCTGTGTAGATTGTTTTTTTTTTTCTTTTGGGTCTGCCATACACACTATAGACCACACTAAGATATACGTAGATATAACATAGATATAAGTAAGCTTGTTGGTGTGAAAATACTGTAATATACATGTCAATCTGTGCTACATTTAGGCTTTTTTATGGATTCACCAAAACAAATAGAGCTCGAAAATTTGACGTCAAAACCGCAAAGGATTGTAGGTACGAGTGGCAAGTGGTACTAGTGCACACAGGCTTTCACAAGAAAACAGTCACACAGTGATAAAAAGAAGCGCAAAGAATGGCAAGAAGCTGTTGCATTATTAACTGCAATACCCGGTCCCATGACAGCCACAGGAAGCCGACGGGTAAAAAGATCGGTTTTTATGGATTGCAGTGATTCGAAGACAAAATATAACGTTCCAGAACACTACAGCTTACATGTTAGTCTGCTCCAAGCATTTCCACAAAGGTGAGTCTTTTGTTGTAGTTATTACATAATTTATCATGACATAATTGTTGATGTAGGTTACAAATAAGTCTTATATTGATTTGAATTGAATTCGCTGCGCTGTGCTGCTTTGTTTGCTGTTGCTTTGTAGGAAAACCAGCCTACAAAATGCTGAAATGCAATCCAAACTGGGCACCTTCTATCAACATGGGTCATACAGAGTTTAAAGCTGCTACCACAGCGAGATTTGATCGGTTAAAAGGGAGCGCGAAATCAAAACAGCCACGAAAAGTCCTGCATATATGTGCCCAAGCGTTGTATTGAAGCAATCAAGTGGTTCAAGGTTCAAAGTTACCTTGAACCTTGTATTGAAGCAATCAAGTGATGAATAACTGTTTTACAGTATGTTTATTTGTTTCTCACTGAAGTAGCTAATAAAGCACAATGGAATACAGTTTTGCCTCCTTCCTGTAGGATTCTATAATAGAATGAAACAATGGGGATCGTGGCTCAAGAGTTGGGAGTTCGCCTTGTAATCGGAAGGTTGCCGGTTCGGTTGCCGAGACTGACCGGCTTGGACAGTCTCGGTCGTTGTGTCCTTGGGCAAGACACTTCACCCGTTGCCTACTGGTGGTGGTCAGAGGGCCCGGTGGCGCCAGTGTCCGGCAGCCTCGCCTCCGTCAGTGCGCCCCAGGGTGGCTGTGGCTACAATGTAGCTTGCCATCACCAGTGTGTGAATGTGTGTGTGAATGGGTGGATGACTGGATATGTAAAGCGCTTTGGGGTCCTTAGGGACTAGTAAAGCGCTATATAAATACAGGCCATTTATCATTTACCAATGATGCCAGTTATAAACAAAGACAATGAATTATGAAACACTTGTTTTATTTCTATTGGAAACCCTTTCACTCCTTTGATTTTTTTCCTCGTACTTTTTTGTTTTTTTTGCCCTTTTCGTCAAGTCTGTCTTTGTACGGACCTGCCGTGTTCTCCTTCGTTTTGTACATAACTGTTTTTGGGGCAAATAACATGTAAGTAGGGATTAAAACCGCAGAATTAATGATTACCGGTGCTGGAAATGCTAGCGCTTAATGCAGTGTTTTGATTTTGCTGCCACACGTATCTACAACGCAATGCGCGAAAGTCACGTGGTCTGTCGAGCTCTATTGGAACAAATTACTTACTTAACAAATCAAACCCTCTGAAAATGTGCAGGTAAAAGAACTGGACTGAAAATAAGTGAAAAAGCAGCCAATGTCTAAAGAAAAACTATGAAAGACCTTCAAAAAACAGTCAGAAATTATTGCTTGAGACCAATTTAAAAAATGATAAGTCTGGCTCCTTGGAAGCGAAATATATAGAAACAAGTAGTGGCTCAAGACTTATGCACAGTATTTGATTTATATTTATGATTTTATTGATATTATTCATAGTGCAACTCAACTAAATCTTTACGCTGCAGTAAGCCGCCGTCAAAATATAGTGTTATAAATACTAGTAGTTTCAGTTGTTGTGCCAAAAAGTGATTGCCTGCCAAAAAGTGATTTCCAATGTTTCTGTGTATTTTTTATGTGTAATATCTTTATGTACGTTCGTAAACAGACTTCGGTGAACAGGGTTTACAAAGGGGTTATATATAGAATTTAAAAAAATATCTGTTTTTCAAGTATCTTTACAATTCTGTGTTATTGTACTTACATTATAAAATATTTTTACAGAACTATTGTAATATTTGCTGGAATTTCTGCTGTGCTGTTGGCCAGCTTACTCTTACAAAAGACATTTTTAATGTTAATGACATTTTTTAACTGCATAAATAAAGGTTATATAAAAGTCACTGCCAAAAACTGATTGCGGCTTCTACCTTGTTACACGAATGTTGTTTGTGGCTCAAGATGACTTTATATCATCCATAAGGGATGCATTTGACATATGTTTACCATATTATAGCCCAACAAGTTACTTATAGCAGTTTAAATATGAGCAATCAGTTTTTGCCACAACACCGTCAAGACCGTCACAGCGCCTCAGTACTCAATACGTCCTGTAGTGGGCGCACACCACGTAAACGTTTACCATTGAATTAAAACGCTCCCTTGGTCTTGCACAGAAAACATAACCTTATTTAATGCGAATGTGTCCTTAAATATCCTTGTTGTCTTTTCGCACTTGCACACTTGTAAGTTTCAGCATTGCATTAACGTGGAACAAGCTAGCCTGTTAAGTACTGTGACCGCCCCCGAAAAACCTGCGGCCATTTATCCGTCTCTTTAATTCGGACTCGCAGATGAAGTCCACGAAACAAATATTTGCTCATTTACAAACTTGCTAAACAAACAGGAAACGATTCATGTAACGGCACTTAATGTTAGCATTAGCCACTATGATAGCATAGCACTGGTGTCCGATTTAGCTCTGGTGACGTCCGCAACACTGCAAACTAAGACATAGTACTGAAAGTGAACTGTGTGACTAAACCTTAATTCTAAAGTGACAGGCAACAGATTCGAGAAGGCTTCCGTTAACTAACCTAACCTTAGTTCACGTTAACACCGACATGGGTTGAGACTATGCTCCGTATTACAATTTCAACCAACGCTAGTATACACTATCCAGCGAATTCGTATAGTGTCCTCTTTGCAAACTTGCACAGCGGTAGCTTGAGTTCTTACATCACAGGTATATAAAATTATTCCAAAAAGCATCGTTTGAAATGACTATTCGGGTTGAATTACACAGACAACAATAAAAGTGAAACTACCATTTGTCAAGTCAATGATGTTTTGTCAGGAAATAGACTGCACCCTGAAAGGGCTAGCATCGCCCTCTACATATTAGCATCGTAAGTTCAGAAGTTCACATTCTACGACGAAGACAGCTCGACATGCACGTACCTACCACCGCTGCTTAATTCTCTCAGAAGCAGTCCCTCGCGTTGTTGATATCGTCGTAATCAATACAAGCGGCCACCTGGAACATAACAGACAAAACACAGCTTGCTAACTAAGCCCCCTGTGAGTAGACCAGTATCCTCCATTACCAGCTCTACGCATGTACACGCTCCTCGGATTTTGTTTACCACAACACGCATGGGAGACGCTTAGCCAATCATAAAGCCACTCTGAGTCACGTCATAAGACCGCAAAAACCGTCTTTCTGTAACCATAAGATTTGATTTGACAGTATCGGTCACAATAGTTCACTTTTTACCTATAAACGATGGATATCATTGTATTTTATTTTTTAACACATGTTGCTAAGATGTTCATATTACAGTTTTTATTCTTTAAAGTTTCAGCTCAAGATAATATAGAAAAAGGTATTCATTCAGTAGGTTATAGAAAGTTTTGTTAAAGGGGTCCAGCTCTTCAAATGCAGGTACAGATTTCTGCAGTATCCACAAACATGCTAAACATACAATAAATGCTATATAAAAGCACTAATACATAAATACTACGAATAAATACACATTTATTACGACAGAAAACTATACTGTAACCTGGTGAACAGTGTACAAGAGTGCATTACAGTACAGAACAGTGGAGAAAGTTCCACACTGACCTCTGGACAGCAAGGACAGGGCCAGTTGCAACATCTGATGATCAGAGGTATTTCCAGTGAAACATTTTAATGTTTTTCTCTGCAATTTAAATCCTATAGTCAACGACAATACAGCAAAGACATCATACGAAGTGCTGAAAATTTTTTTTAGTGTCAGCCGTCTATTTCACAAGTTGAAATAGCAGCAAACAAAAGCTGAATAGGTTAAAAAAAGTTTTAAAATAATGTTCCTCAATTCAACAACAGCAACTCAGAGAAACAGGACATGGCCTCACCTTATTTAAACTCAAGTGAGTTCCTTTCTAATGTTAGAAAATTGCCACTTTTTTCAGTAGATAGTAACTCAAAAGTTATATTCAGACTGTATCATCTGTTTAGTTTAGTGTCTCCTTTTTTGAAATTGTAAATGCCGTGGTTGACTGAGCTTTCTTTTGTATCACCCTGACAGGATTAACATGTTTTCACACCATCTCAGTGGGGAGTGCTTACGCTTCCTGAAGTGGGAAAACCCCCATACTTTTGTTCTGAATTAGAACATGCCTGCTGTCTTGTATAGAAAGCATAAAATTGTATGATGTAAAAATGTGTAATAAAATCCTTTACAGCTGCTTAACAGACAATGCTGCAGGACAAGCTAGCCTGAAAGATTCTGGGAATGGCTCTAACTGCACCCAAATTAACTATCTATGTAATTCTGCCTCACTGTTCCATCTCAGCCAGCAAGTACCTGCATATTTGCAGAAATAAAAGACAAGACCACATGGTGAAAATAACTGGTGTATAACCTAACTGGTTATGTGCAGAGCAGCCCAGAGAGGCTGTGTCTCTCAGAAAAAAAGATGGAGAAAGTTTTTAGAATATTATCAGAATATTTCAAATCAAATCAAATCAAATCACTTTTATTGTCACATCACATGTGCAGGTACATTGGTACAGCACATGTGAGTGAAATTCTTGTGTGCGAGCTTCACAAGCAACAGAGTTGTGCAAAATACAATAATGTAAACAAGCAAAATACAAGAATGTAAACAAGCAAAATACAAGAATGTAAACAAGCAAAATACAAGAATGGCTACATCTGAAACTAATAAATATATGTACAATATATATATTTGGTGCAGAAAACTAGTTTATGTTTGATTTTTTGTGCTGTTGTTGTTGTTGTTTTTTAGTGAATCAGAGTTGTAAATGTAGTATCTGAATAGTTCAGAATTCAAGACTGCTGCCGTTATCCAGCTGGAGCTGGCACCTACCCTGCTTTGACCTCTCAGTGATGCAAATCAGCTCGTCCAGAAAACTGTTCCTAACCTATGCAAATAGGAAATAAAAGGAAGCGACTGCCTTTTCTTCCTAATTCAAATAGTTTTTCCTGCTCTTGTAGCAAATGAGTTGCGTAAAGCTTCACCCCATTCAGATAAAGCAGTTGAGCCAAGGCAAAAAAAGAAGCTGAGAGCCAGTGTATGAAATTTTGCTAAATTAAAGAATGTTTTTGCTTGAAAAATAGAAAATAATTTTTTCATTTTGATGCCAGTCTGCAGTTTCACAAAAGTGACAGAAACACCAGAGGAGCGACAAAACATTTTAAAATAAGAATTTTTTCATGACTGCTTATAAAAAGTGCTGTCCAGAGACAAGAAATGCATTTCTATGGTCATTTAAGAAAAAGAATAGGATTGAGCTAATATGTGTCCATTCAGTATATTGCCTTAGGAATATTTGCAGGCCCCTATTTAATAAACTTGATGAAAAAAATAGAATTTTTTTTCCCCCCCCAAAACATGATTTTTTCTTCAGTAAAATGCAAATTGCCCACTTCCGTTTTCGAATTTGTAATGAATCCTTATAGGACAAGTTTGTGATTGAGCAAAGTAGAAAGGTTGAAAAGATTAAAAAAGTACAGTAGAGGTGGATGAGTTTAAATTCCTGGCGTCAACAATTCAAAGTGATGGACAGTGCCAAAGAGAAATGAAGAAGAGTGTGCAGGCAGGGTGGAGACGAGTTTAGGAGTCATTTGAGACAAAAGGATCACAGCAAGAGCTAAAGAGGCGGTTTGCAAGGTCATGTGGAGGAAATGCAGAGGGTTTGGTGTGACAGAGGAGGATACTAAGCAGAGGGTGAGGTGTAGTCAGATGTTCAGTGACCCCTAAAGGGCGCCGCAGGAAAAAGAAGAAGAAGATGAGAAGGAAGAATCATATCCAGCACTCAACAGAGAAAACAAACACCTTTTAACTGGGAACATCTGATTTATTTCATGCCAGGAAAGGCACATTCATACACTGAATTCAATTGTTTTAATAGGCTATATAATGTTATATGCATCTACATTCAGGCAGTGCATATAATATGATTCCCTTGAATAAATGCCACAATAACATTAACATATTTTGTTAACCACAAAAAGATATAGCACATATGAGCACTGACAATTTATATATGCACACTTTTAGCATAAGGAGAAGTACATGTGCACCCTGTAGTCCATACAGTTTTACTGACCTTTTACACCAAAAGAGACATACAGTACTTTGCATCAGCAGCACTTGTTGGTTTTTATAAAGTCCATAGAGAATATATAATGTTTTAGAGCCGGTTCCATTTATTCCCAAACTATTTCTGTTCATTTGTTCCTGTTGCATAAATCCAGTCATCTCGCATCTGCACTCTCTCTTAAAATGCATATATAACAGACCAGCATGAAGAGCACAAAAGTCCCTTTTTTTTGTTGTTTTTTTTCTTAACCTCCTAGGACCCTGCGTCCACATATGTGGACATCACATTTTGGGTTATTTAGACCAAAATACTCAATTTTGCTTTACAAGGTCCTGATATCCACTTACGAGGAAATTTTAAATGAATATGCTCATATGTGGCTCTTATTTTTCTTAAAAACAAAAATAAGGTAAAAAAAAAAAATCTAGTAATTCTTTGTTTTTACGTTCATCGGGCCCCAATATGTCCAAATATCAAAGAGAAACTAAAAATGCATGCCATGGAAGAGTTCAGGTCTTAGGAGGTTAAGGGGATTTTTCGCCTTTGGCAGATTCATATTTGGGCTTCCTCTGACTTACATCCTCTGTTACACATAACAGTAATCTATCCAGTCAACAGATAAGCACTGTCAGGGAGAATCAGACTGTGCTTTTATTCACACTTTACTGTCCCACTATGAGACAAAGCAACATTCACGAATGAATGTCTAACAGCGAGCAGCACGTCCTGCTCATTCCTTCAGTCCGACATGAGTAGATATACAGTGTAGGGTGGACGGGGAGCAGCAGGGTTAGGTAACGCACACGTGTTTCGCGATCAGTTATTAGCTTAAGACAACATTTTATCAGTTTGTTGCTGTAACGCCAGGATAAAAACAGAAATAAATAAACAATAATAATACTTACACACTGAGAGGAACCATTTCATTAAAAGACAATTGTGCTGGGAATTTATGGCAATATATTGCAACTGTCTGAAACAACCCTTGTGTATATATCTTTCCATACTCTGAACTCATGCAGGCTCTCAGTACTTTTTATCCTTAGGATAATATATATATATGTGTGTATATATGTATGGTATCGAGGCAATGGCTGTTAATCTGGAAGAGAATCTCTCTCGGCTTTGATGTTTATGTTTTAATATTAACTATGAAATCGTTACACTTTAACACTGACACATAGCATTTTTGATTTTGAGTTTAGTGCAAGGAAAGTTACTTGCTTCTGTCATTTGTTAATCAGTCAGATTGTGTGTCTGAGATGCTGTACACTGCATATTGTGTGAATGTGGTTCCAAAACAATATGGTACAATTTTTTTTGTATGTGTGTGTTTCTCCTTCAATCATATTGTCATTTATGTAAGCATGTGACACAGTTATTATCCACATTTTACATGGACAGTGTAGTATATTTAATGCATTTAATCTATTTTTCCACTGTCTGCATTTAATCAAACACAATTATTCTGTTATAAATTGCTCTTCACCCTCCCCGATTCCTCGGTTGACTATGTTTGATGTTTTTTTTTTCTTCTCTTCCACTGAAAGCAGAGTTAAAATGGATAAATTAGCCATTTTATTAAGGTAGAACAGGAGCTCTTTTCTGCAGTACTTTACAGAATATATATGATGGAGGCGAGACGATTCCAACAGCGTTTCACGCCTTTTATGCCTCGTCGGTCAGTTCTTCACCACAAACATTTCATACACAAATCATGGTGCCTTTTACCTCCAGACTTTGTGTTGGTTTGCAAACATGGTGAGATGGAGGACAAACTGGTATCGAAAAGCGTAGCAGAAACTGACTGTGTATCGGCGTCCGCCCCTCTCATCATACGTCCTTTCCCGCTTTATCTCGGAGCACCAGTGGTCATCTACATCCATATGATGTGACCCTGTTTTAAACAGCTCTCAGCCTGGGAGCCTTAGGAATACATGCCAACTGCCGAAAAATAGACCTTCTCCTTTGCTCTTTAATAAAACTTTATGCCTTGATGGTTATTTGTTCACAGGTTTACTGTTTTTCA